AATAATTTGTAAAATGTTTTGAGAAACAAAGCAAGAAATGCATCAATCTACAGACCATATTTTTTATAAGCTAGCAGTAAAAGTTATAGAGGAACTCATTACAATTTACTGCGACACGGAAAACAAGAGCATTTTCACACATCGCATGAAAAACAAAAGTAGCCATTATTTTTCAATCCTCTACCATTCTGAAGGACATTTTCAACACAGCTAAGCAGGCATGGAATTTAGGCTGTAATTTTCACAGGGATCCCAAGTGAGTTAATGGCCCAGTCTTTATTGAAAATTCTGGTCTTAACGTTGAGTTGCCAATAGCAGTAACTGCTCCCATAATCAAGTATCAGTCAGTGATCCTTCAGTGCTTTCGTTCCTTAAACCGGCTTGTGTTACTCAGTTTGACAATTCAAAAATAAGAGGAAAAAAAACCCTGCATTATGGTGGTTTACTTATATTCTTCCATTTGTGGGCATTAAACAGCAGCACCATAGCTCTGCCCATAAATCAGAAAAAATGCAGACATCTGAACAAACAAACCTAGGGAAAAAATGATGTATAACAGCTGCAGAAAAGTAAATACGGATATTTTTTTTCTGTGCCTCCAGGAGAATCATCATAAAAATAAATACAGATGCTAAAACCAGAAGGATTATACAAGTTAGAACTGGTACAAGACTATGCATTTTATTAGCATAATTTATATTCTAACTGGGTCCAATCTGGTGTTGAGAAATAGAAGGAGTATCCAGCTTCTGACAGGATAGGGCCCTGCTGCCTTCTCTTTATCACAATAAAATTAAAGTTAACCCTGTCAGTACTCCACAATCTCATGTCTGTACATGTACAATTCTTCCCAGGATAAAATGGGGACTTATAGAGCCCCACACAGAAATGATCAACTTACACAACTGTCAAATGCTGCCCTGTATTAATGGAATCAAAATAAAACTTATAAAAGAGAATATTCAAGCTATAGACGGGTGGCCATTCACATAACCATTCACATGATTCCAGCGATGTCACTGGAGTTTGGACTGCTTCAAATGGGAGGCACAAATTTAGCCTGAAAAAATAGTGCTGTCACAGTGATAACAACCCACCTTAGTTCTCATGATCACACAAACTCCATTCAGTACCACATCTCTCGGGCTGATATTTCTGCCCTCAAAAAAATAAAAAGCTACACTTTGGGAACTTGCATGTGAACATGCGCAAACACCAGCAGGAGCTTCCAAGTCCCTTGGGTGCCCACTTTGAGCTGAAGACAGCCTACGAACCAGTCACTCTGCTGCTTTGAGAACAGCCAGGACAAAATAAGAGTGCTATATATTTCCCCTGACAACCATCCTGTAGGAATGCACTTCCTCATCCTATTCCCCCAGAGCCCACATTTTGCTTCTGCAGAAGTCAAGGGATTCGTATCTTGCACTGTAACCAGCCAGGACAGTTGGAGGAACAGTGAACAAGGTGTGAGCTCAGGCCCTGCCAAAGACACCCACAGTGCAGCTCCAAGAAGCGAGCCATTACCCCTTTTCCTTCGTATACTACGTACTCCTGAGCTTTCTCCAAGCCCTTCTCTCGTTATAACATCTTACCAAAGAGCCAGTTCGCAGAAAGAGTTGTAAAGTCCAGGGCAGCTGTCTCATGAGATCAAGACAAACATTTCTCCACCAAGAGAAGGGAAGACAACATTCTATTCTAGGGCATGGGATCAAGCTGGCTGTTTAAAAGCTCAGTGAGGCTGCTGTCAAATCACTAGAACTAGAAACAGAGGCAATTTTGGGGCTTCTCCCAAGCTGATGAATGAGAAGGGGTCAGTCTAGGCTGCCCTAAGTCCCAGAAGCCTGTCCTGTCCACCTCCACAGCTGCATGCTCTTCTGCAGCAAAAGAATAAAAGTGCTGTGCCAAAAACCTATCTGTGAAACGTCTGTGAAGAACTTTTGCCTTGATGCTTTCTAATAACTAACATGCTACTAAAGCAACAGCCCCAGCAATGGACACAGAGAGAATGCTTCACAGCTTGGGAGCCCGTGTGCCACGTCCACATGCACCTGGATGCACACCCACCCTGTGGCTGACACCGTGCTGCCAGCACCAGCTTGCTACTGCACCCGCGGCACAGCAGAAGGAACCAAGTGGTCATCGTTCACCGGACAAGTGCCCTGAAGTCAGCTGCAACACTCAGCCCTGCTGTCGGCACGGCTCAGACTCTCGTGTCCCTTGCAATCAACCAAAACACCGAGAGCCCTAAATTTAGGATCGGCCCCAGCTGCCCGCAGTCTTGGGCACTCTCACCTCCTGCTGTGCCACGTAAATAGGGCAAAATCACTGCCCTGCTTCATGGAGAGCGTTCATTAAACTTGGTAGCAGGTGACAAAGTGTCCACTCCAAAGTCCTTCCACTTGACAAAACAGGAGTGAACAAAAACTACAAGGGAATCCATTATTCAACTTCTTCTCAGGACAGAAACAGGAAACAGTGATTGGTTCCCATTTTACCCTGGGAAGAACTTTACATGTACAGACACTCCTAATGAACAGAAGGCTGCCAAGTACTTGAAAAAACTGCTGATTTCACATATATACATACATAAACATATATAGATGAATGATACAGGAGCCCTCAAAGTCTTACTCTGCAGAGTCCTTTTCTGCTTTTGCACACAAAATTCATGTTACTTTCTTCTGATGTGCAAGCGTTAGTGCAGATTGTTCCTTCACGGATATTCCAAGGAACTGCATTAACTGTATTACTGTGGTGGACTCGTCTGGATTAGCTACTTCCCACACCAGTGTGCACGGCAATACTGCTCTTTGCATCAGGAAAGCCAGCACCCAAATACCAAGCGTGCTGTATGAAAACTTTAGTTTTAGGCTGTTCCTGTTTTATTTATTCTGTAGGCAGGACTGTAAGTGCAACAGAGATAAACTATTGATTTCCTCAGTACAACATCATGGATTTAAAGTCATACAGAAACATTAAAAGCCTCAAATTTGACTCATCCACAGTACACTGAATACAGAAATTTCTTAACTCAGTAAAACTGCACTTGAACTGGAGCCCATCTTCTAGACTCTGTTTTGATCTTACAGACAACTGTAGTCTACCTCCTGCACCAACCTACAGTATGTGACACAGAGGAAAGTCAAATTTCCTAATTTCTTTAAGAGCAAATAAAAACCACTGCAAACCAACAGGCTGAAGGAGGGAGAGAATCCTTCCCGACACTTTTTCACTATTTTTACCTCTGAAGAGTGAGGACCAACATTCTCTGTGACACACTTGTCAATGAAGCAGCGCTGACTGCTTTGCAAATAAAAAAGTTTCATTGCTTTTTATTTTCCTCCTTACCCACACATTTATTGAACTAGCAGCTTCAATAACAGCCAACAACAGGGAATTCTACAAGATGACATGGAGCATAAGAAACATTTAGCTTTTAAACCTTCTCCTTAATATTTTCAAGTGTTTCTTCTGTGTTCAGGACAGGTCTTCAGTACGTCATTATTTTAGAAATTGCTATAATGTCTTTTCTTAAGATCTCTTAAGCAGAGGATCTCTCCTTTCCCAAGCTGAATTAGGGTACTCTCCATAATCCCTCTTCATGACTGCTCTCCCACCTTTCTAGTGCTTCTAATCGTTTTTGTAACCAAAACTCAATATTAAATTCACAGCGAGGGGAGTCTGTCAATTTATACAATGACATGATAGTATTTTCTAACTGATTCTCTTTCTAAATATAGCCAAGTGTTGTATTTGGGATTTGGAGGCCCATTGCATATTAAGTAGATGCCTTTATTAAGCTGCCACGTATGACGAGTAGATCTTTCTCCCAAGAGGTTACAAGTAATTCAGAATCCAATAATGCACACAAGTAATTTTAAATTGCCCCTTCTACTTTAATTACCTTGCAAGTTAATTCCATGTTCCAGCTACAGCATGCTGTTCAGCAACCCAGCTCTCTTCAGTCCTTCAGAAGTGCACCTGACAATCACTCACAGTGTTCATTAACCAATTCAGAGCCTTTCTAGAAAGTAATATTGACATCTTATCCACTCCTGGTTATTGCTAAACATACTGAATATAACTAGGCCTACTGTTAATCTTCATTTTATTTTGATACTTCACGTAGTTATTTTTTATTTTTATTTATGTTTTGCTATTTCGTCTTTTCATTCCAGAGGCAGCTGTTTATTGGTCACATACCTGATGACTGTTAATTCATGGCAAAATTTTGCCACCTACCCTGCGATTTGCAAGCTTCCTTAGTCTTCAGTTGAAAAGAGACTTTGACAATTTTGATTGAATAGGCAGGTTACGCACAATTATGCCCTTGTTTTGGGTTTATTCACGTAAGATTAATTTTTTTCCCAAGAAAAATTGTTTTAAGGATAAAGATAATTCCAACAGGCAATCTTGCCCTCACAACAGAAATACAAAGTAAGCACAGGAACAAAGGCCAGACATAACTAAAATCTGAAACCACAAACAAAAGCTTTGTGTATTAAACTCTTACACACTCACCTTGGCTTTCCACTCGGATCTGAGTACACGTGCGCTGCAAGGAGCAACTTGGAAAGACAACAACTGGTGTGCCTTTGCCTGTGCTACAGACACCTCCCTTGTAACAACATTAACGTGGCTATTAAATTGTAACCGTGTGTTTTAAACGTTCCGATGGGTGTCTCTTCCTACATATTCCTAGGAAGGCTTGTTGGCTTCTTCGCTTTTTTTTTTTTTGGTTCTGGTGTTTTGACTTTTTTTTTTTTAATGGCAGATACACTTGGCAATATCTGCGACCTTGAGTTGTACACACAAGCAAGCAAGAGCCCTGTCCTGCAAGGCTGTTTATGCATTCTGAGAGAGCTCCTTCTGAGAGGGGTGTCTCAAGGAAGACAGGAGCATGATGTGCATACCAAGCCAAGTGCTTCATGATTTATTTATAGGGAAAAGGGGCATAAAAATCTGCTGAAGAGGAAAGAAAAATGAAGAATCTGACTCACCTTGTCGGTGTAGACGAAGAACAGAATCACAACAGTGAGCTCCAACAGAAATATAATTAACAGCATGATAAAAAACTGTCAAGAGAAGAAGGGACAGGGGGAAAAAACAAAAAGCGAAACCCATCAATATCTATTTCAGCTTTCTGGATGCACAGTAAGTACATTCAGCAGATCATGCAGAACGGGGAGTGGGAGTCACACAGGCAGCATGACGCGAAGCTGCTGTGTGAGAGCAGAACAGAAGGCACGCAACATGCAGCAACTGAAAAAGCAGGTGAAGGACTAGTCAGGAAACACAACGATATCTGGGCATCCGTATGGCTCATTTATATCACTGATTTCAGTGGAACAGCATAAAACCCCCCAAAGACCTGCCCCCCCAGCAGGCCAGTGCCCAGTTTAACAGTGGCCCGACTCTTCCCGGGCCGGGTTTTCTTTATTTTTTTCCCCCTCAGATCTTTCCAACTAACAAGATACCAGTGAAACCCACAGCTTAGACTTCCCAATGCAAGAGAAGGTAGCCTGGTCCATAAACCATGAAGCCACAGCTCCTTTCAAGCAGAATTGTGGGAACAGCGAAAGGTACACCGAAGAGCTTGTATACCAACCAAGTCAGCTTTACGAGTGGTTTCAGGTAGCTACAAAAATCACCCATGGGTTTCCACTGAAAGGGACTGATTTGTACTGAAGACATCAAAGAAAAGTCAATTCATATCTTTTTCTCCTGACAAGCCACGAACTGTCTAAAACCCAATAGTCAAAAGCTCAAAGGAGTGGATAAAAAACTTTTAACACAGGGATTTCAGGTAGATTCTCTAAAGCCCTCAGCTCTGATCGACTTCAGCAAGAGGAACTGTTGGCAATGCCCAGTACTTCTGCAAAACCACGTCTCCTGCTTTTTGTTAAGATGCTGGATAGGTCTGCAGCAGCGTCAACACAGCGGCTGCACGGACTTTACAACAAGCGCTATCAGAGCATTAAATGAAACTGAGTTTTGCAAAGATGGGTAAAGGAAAGGGTGATTTTTGGAAACTTTTCAGGCTCAGGCAAGGTCCTACTGCCTGTAACACAAACACCATATACTCAGCAACCTGCAAGGCTGGAATTCTAACACTGAGCAACACTGACTTAATTGAAATCCTATCCCCAAGAGAAAAAAAACAGCTACCGTCCCTTTAGCTTCAACCACAAGGCTGCAAACCTATGAAAGTTTAATAGCTACAAAACCTTATCAAAGCTTCATCACTGCCTGGCAAGTCAAAACCAAACCTCTGAACCTACGGATTTCTGTGACTGAATGGAGGGCAATAGGTCAAGAAGGGGAAAATATCTTTCTCCACTAGTACAATTACACTGTCTGCAGAACTCATGACATCTTGCCCTGCGAGTCTTAAATTAAAGTTTATTTTCGAATCTTCATCACTAGTATCTTCACACCTGCCTGACGCTAATACTGGATCCTATTACTGCCCAGTTTTGAATCATAGAACTCATTCACACTCATGATCCAAGCTGATTTCCATATCATTACCATCCAACACTGACCTTCTGTATGGCTTTGCAAAACTGCCTTGGAGCAGCTTTTTTTTCACATTTACAATTTCAGCCTGCTGCACAGCATTAAACAAAACTGGACAAAGCGTATCACTCTCTGCAAAGATGCACAGACCCTTCACTGTATTTTGTTTGGCTGTGGGGTACTTTTTTGCTCATCCATTAAGTATAGCTTTTCAAAAACGTGCATGTGAACACCGCTGTCTCCCTGTCAAATTCACTGGCATAGCCTGAATTGCATTAGGCAATTTCTATAATAAAGGGAGGACTTGTACCCATCATAAACAGTGATCAGCATTTCCAAGCATAGGACCCCATTTTCATCAGCTTATGATTTTGCCAAATCTTAATTGTCTATGCTTATATATTCTGAGCTTGTTTCTGTCTAAAGGATAAAAGCTTTTGGAAGAACTTCAAAAATAGCACTTCAATTACTTCTAAGAATGAAGCAGGGCAAAGTATGTTATTCCGCCCAGGTTACATTTCTGGTGGCTTCATTTGAAATCCTCTCACACTCTGGTGTTTCAAGGATCCGAAACAAAGCCTGGCTCCATTTGAGGCACGTGCCTTTTGTCCTACCCAACTATGAGTGGATTTTTGTGGAGAAGTTATTAGCCTTCAAAAAACTGCATTTCACACCTCCAGTAAAGGTGAGAGGGCTCAGCAGCTAAAACCTTCAAAGTCTACAACCACAAAAAGCCTACTCACACCTTTCCTGCAGCTTATGTGTGACCAGACAACTAGCACACCGGCCCACAAAGCACCTTCACCGCTCCTGTGGCACCCACACACACCCACAATGCCCTTCTGCCGTCCCCTCAGAGTTGATGGCCTCCAGTCCCACTTCACAGGACATGACCTGGAGCAGTGGGTCCGACAAGGAACCGGAGTAAAATTCAGGGACCTGTTATTCCTGTCCTCTCAAGAAAGCTTTTCCTGCCTTCTCTGCACTCATGTGAAGCCAGTACAGATGAAGCCAGGGAATGATTTTGCAGAATAAACGGGAGCCTGAGGAAGGAAGGTTTTAACAGCAAATGGGAAATGGTTTGGTTTAGGATACGGTAATGGGTCTGCCTGAGATGCAGCCCTTATCGCGCTGCGCAGTGGTAGCTGGATAACACACCAGTGTTTTGACTGCTGCTGAGCAGGGCTCACACAGCACCAAGGCTGCTTCCCCAATATTTCCCCAGTAGGCTGGGGGTGGGTAAAAACTTGGGAGGGGCTAGAGCCGGGACAGCTGACCCAGACTGTCCAAAGGGATATTCCATCCCACATGACGTCTGCTCAGCAATATAAGCTGGGGAAGAAGGGGGGGACATTCATTTCGTGTTTGTCATCTGGAGCAAGCACTACGCGTACCGGATCCCTGCTTCCCAGGAAGTGGCTGGACATCATCTGCTGATGGGAAGTAGAGAATAAGATCCTTTGTTTTGCCTTTGCTTCCACGTGCGGCTTTTGCTTCATTAAACTGTCTTTACCTGACTCACATGCCTGTTATGTTTTCTCTCCCCTGTCCAGCTGAGGGGGTGAGAGTGATAAGAGTGGCTTTGGTGGGTACCTGGCATGTGGCCAGGGCCAAAGCACCAGAGATATGATCTGGCTACCAGTTTTAGAGAAACTGGACCTCCTGGCAGTAGCTGATCGGGACAGGAGACAGCAGAGAAAAAAACAAGGCCTGCGCAGCGGCAGGGGACGCATATGGATACCCAGGAGGGGCTGTGCCTTTGAGAGGATGACAGCTTGTGGAAGACCCTGTGCTGGAGTCGTGGGAAAAAAAGAGACAAAAGTGGCAGAGAAAGGAAAGCACCCCACACTGACGGCCATGACTGAGATGTGCGGGGAGCAGGCTGGAGAGTGGCAAGGGGGCACGAAGGGGTCTGGAGGGAAGCTGAGGTGTTTTCTCAACTGGGTAATTGTCATTATTTCTCAACATCAGAACCAGTAATTCAAAGTTTATCTTAACTGGAATAAATTAAGTGAAATTTCATGACTCGAGAGTGTTTTGCCCTGCAACACCAAGTCATACAACTCTGTTAAACCCCTCCCTTAGGGCTGGAGCAGGCAGCTGCTGTTGCCAGCTGTGCCGCTGTGTCCAGCAGCAGAAGGCTGCGGGTGGATCTTCTGGCGAGACCATGATGGTGATCCTGCCTTCTTCAGTTCGTTCTACAGAAATAAGTATGACGTTGCCATCATAAGAGATACCAAAATTGTGTAGTCAAGCACTCAGAATTTAGGACATCTCA